CTGTGTAATGGATAAGTCTTGGATGCCACATATATGAGAAGAAGTGATTTTTTCTATGTTTTGCATGAAACTTGTATTTTCATCCAAGACTTATCCATTACACAGGTTTAACAAAGTCTCTAGCCAAAAACTCTCAGAGAAGAGGTACACATCCAAGACTTATCCATTACACAGGTTTAACAAAGTCTCTAGCCAAAAACTCTCAGAGAAGAGGTACAATTTTCTGGCTGGATTTCTTTGGAGAACAAGATAAGGACATTGCATTCTTTCAATCTCTCTAACACTGGTGTGTATTTTTGGCATGAACTGTGATTCTAGCTGCACTCTGCATAACACCCCTCTCTCAGGCCAAGAGTCCTCATGATCCCCAGGAGATTTCTACGCGTCACTTACAACAGCTGCATTCGAGGCATTCAAATGCTCTCCCTTTCCAGGGATTTCTCAGGCCGGGACCTTTTCCCTGACTCGAGGCACCAACGCCCTCCCACCCGTGATTTCTGACAGCCAAAAAGGGGGCCAGAGTCTCCCAGCAAGCGCTGGCCACTTTAAAGGCTGTCTTCTGGCTAACCACAACCCGCAGGGAGGATTTCTCGGAGCAATCTGACGGACTTGGGACTGGCCAGGTCCTCTCCTATATGGGGATCCACATGGAGCTTTGGTTTCTCATCAGACACTCAAATCTCTCTCGCTTCAGTCGTCTCCGGCCACGTTAGCCTCACTTGGGTCCAACAGTGAAACCTCGGATCAGACCTCCACATTCACATCGCAGGCAGATCCCTAGTGGAAGTTTCCCACGTCTCAGACACACGCACTCACTCAGCACTCCCCAATACTTCCCTCTGAAGTATTAACCAGCTCCCCAAAATATTTACACCGTGGGCGCCAAAACCTCTACCGTGTCACCAAAGGGATTCTCACAGCCTGTCCAATGGAGATTAAGAAGTCCCTTAACATTCAAGTTCAGACTCGAATCAGGGTCTGCCGGCCCCACCTGGGGCGAGGTCGCTGGAAACAAAGGGTCCAGGAGCGCTCATGATCTCATCACCGGTCCGGGTCGGTTTCCCCTGTGAGTCGTCACCGAAGGCAGAACCTCAACGGGGCTCTGAGGTGGGGGCCTGATGACCAGGCTGCCACAAAGGAACGTTGCCTTCCCGCCCCACGTTGGGTGCCAAAATGTAAGGTTCACGGCTACCCAGAAAACTTGAAATCAATCAGCAGCACAAAATAAAGGACTT